TTTATTATTGGAACCTCCAGTATGTACTTTCTCGATTTTTAAAGGATTTAAATACTTAAAAGGATATTGAACATAACCTATAAACTATGCTAAACAGATGTTGGATTTATTCGTAATTCTTGGCAAGTCTGTTACAACATCGTGACGTCACGATCTCTCTTCAAGGTCAAAATTGTTTGAGAAACGTAGTAGTTTCAATATGAAAAATCACAGGATCATTTGGGAAATTTCTACTTTATATGCATTATAGTACATTAAAATTTACATAATGTTATGCACCTATAGATCCACTTCTATAACATTGTTATAAATATAATTTGGTTCACGGAGTTCAATTTTTACTTACCGCATAAAATTGCCGGTAATTATCACATAAGCCCTGAACAATTTAGATAAAAATAAAGTTCCTAGTATAGCTTCATATAAGTATGGGTCATTATCGACACCTGAGGTACAATTATATATATAGCCAGCAAAACTTGCATTAATAAGACTTAATAGTTACTTACACTTTAGATCCGCAATAGTGCAAGGTCAAAGTTAAGCAATTTACACCTCGTTGTATACAGGGTGAGTTTTATGTTTAGGTTTTTTGGCAATTAAACTTGATAGATTTTAATGAATATTATATTTTTCACTTTCTTCTATTCAATTAAGATGTACGAGGTGTGTTCAGAAAATATCGGGAATTTTCGTTTTTTGAAGCAAATATTTATTTATTCGTCTACATTAATGTTGTCGCCTACAAAATAGTCCCCATTGGATATTATGCACATGTTCCAGCTCTTCTTCCAATACTCGAAACACTTCTAAAACTCGATCTTTGGGATAGCCTTTAGTTCTTTCAGCGATGCGCTTTTAATGTCATCTATGCTTGCAAAACGACGGCCCTTTAAGGTTCTCTTTATTTTTGGGAATAGGAAAAAGACAGATAGAGGCATGTCTGGCGAATATCATTACAGTATTGTTTTTAGCCAAAAATGTTGTTCAAAATTTAACAATTTTAGAACAAATTTTGCTGCCACGCGTTTCATACCCAAAACATTCGAAAAAATTTCATGGGATATGCCAATCGATATACCAACATCATCAGCGACTTCTCTGATGGTTTATAACCATTTCTTCCACTTTTTTATGTTTTTATCGGTTGTTAATGCGCTTTTGCGTTCGGGGCGTTCGTCATCTTCAACGTCTTCACGGCCATCTTGGAAACTCTTATACCACTTGTAAACTCTTGTTTTACTTATAGCAGGCTCACTCTAGGACTTTGTTAACATTTAAAAGAATTTATTTTATTTTTTAAGCAAAATTGGACACAAATTCTTTGATCCATTTCTTTTAACGAACGAAAAATCGCCGAGCTCATAAAACACGTCTAACCTTAGCGGCTGCCACAGACAAAGTAAACAATGAAAACAGCTAAAGTTTTTATCATACTTCGGGGGCATGAATACCAACATAATAAAGAAAATTTTATGACAACCGGACCCTCCGAACCCGCGAAATTTAACAATTCCCGTTATTTTCTGAACACACCTTGTATAAAATCCAGATTTAAACTAATAATGCCAATGAGTTTTTAATATTTATTTCAAACACTTGATCTGGACTATCCATATTGCATAAGTTCTAAAAAAAAAGAATCTCAATAAAAAACGTTTCCAAAAAACATAGTAATTAGTTGCTTAAGGCAAAAAAATCGCATGTTCACCAGATCACCAGATAAGAACAAAATACTTAAATAAAAATAGATACAAAAGAATTATTTTTAGACATGTCAGCATGCAAAACCTGTATAAAACAGAAACAAAATCAACATTCCAATAAGGGTATACGTTTTTAGTTGTTTTATCTAAATTATAAAATTATTACAGTTTTGCATATAGGATAACAATTTTATAAGTCAAAAAGTGTGCGTTTCGGGTGTCACGATTCTGCCTCTATACATTTATTTGAAATTTAGCGAATTTTCTTAGGGAAACATTCCTAAAAATTACAGGCCTCCAAAAGTATAACATTTACTAACCATCTACCACATAATCACTGTCACAAATAACGTTTTACTATTTTTTTATAAAATTTTTCTTTGTTTCGAGTGTTACCATGGTTCTGTTTCGGGTGTTACAGGTACAAAAATTAAACACATTACAAACATGGACAAAATTGGTGTTTTATTAGTCTTTAGGTCTCCTTAAACGTAACTTAAGCAGCTTCGGGTGCGATTGATAAATCGGCAAAAAGGGTAAAATCTTTATTATTGCCAAAAATCGGTAAAAAATCGGCAGAAACATAATTATTGACGAAAGACTAAATATTCGGTATTTTGGTAGATCCGTTGCCATTTAGGTAAAAATACCGAAATTTCGGTAGGTTCGACAACACCATCGAAAGAGCCTTAAAAATTGCATTCTTCAAGCAATACAAACACATATATCGACATATGAAAAAAGTTGTAACACCCGAAACGTTTCCGGTGTTACAGTTTTTAATCAAGAAAAACACATATCAAATTAGTCTCTTGCTCAGATATTAGTTAGTATTTTAAATCATTACCACCATAACGTTACTTTAACTAAATATTATTACTAAAGATGGGATATTTAGATACTAAAAACTGAAAAATAGGTAACTAAAAAGGTACTAAAAAAAGCATTTTAGGTTAAAACAACAGCATTTTAGGTAAAAAAAACATTAAACGTTCAAGTTTCGTTTATAATTTCGTTTAACCGCATACCCAAACACAGAACATACCCACAATGTTGTGTTTCACTGAGTGACACTCACTACACAGAAGTTCTATGACAGAACATAAGCTCACTACAAATAAGGTAACTGTAAAGAAAGTTTCTGTTACAGTCTGTGACCATAAGAAAAAATTCTATACCGTTGAGTTGCACGCCCTGGATAAAATATTGTCGCAAAGTTTAAAAAGAACACAAAAAAATAAAATAAGTAAAAATACGTAAAAATAGGTAAGAAATAGGTGAAAATAAACTGACAAATTAAAAAATATGTAACAAAAGTATAAAAAGGTAGTTTAAAGCAAAAACCTCCAAAAAAGGTAAAAAAGGTAAAAACAAGTTAAAAAATAGGTAACAAAAGTATGATTTTTCGTTTCGGGTGTTACAGTGGCAAACGTGATAATTATCAATTTTTTCGGGACTGTGACGCAATCCACCAATACTCCGATAAATAATTTCAAATCACAACGTGACAAAACGGTTGACAGATTGAGAGTTTTTTTTCGAATTTCCAATAGTTAGAGGCACAATGGTCATTCAGCCAGTTCACTTGATAGACCAGTGCAGAAGCCTTTAAAAATGGTAAAAAGAGAAAAAAAATAACAGTAGGATGAAACCCATTGGAAAAGGAGGGGAATATAATAAAAATTAAAGGAAAAATAAATTACGGGCGATCTGAGTTCGGGAAGTGGGAGGGGGGGGGTTTAAGGGTAAAAAATGGTTTATCTCGATTTCCGGCAAAACTACAAGTCCTATAGAAAAAAGTTAAAAGTCAAAGTTGTAGGTAATAAAAAGATCTACAACTTTTGTATTTACAATTTTTTCACATAACCTCAAAATTTATGTGAAAAATTCAAAAAACCAAGTTTTTGGTTTTTTTATTTTTATCTTTTTCAAATAAAAATTTTTTTCCACGAAATTTGGTGAAAACTTACCTTTTTATGTCCCAAATACACTGTAATTTATTTGATTTGAAATATTTATTATTTCGCCTTATTTTGACTTTTCAATCGAAAATTCTCGCGTCAAAATATCAGCTTTTTTCAAAAAGTCGGTGTGCTTTTTGTTCGATGAACTCTCTACTTTCTGATGGTGTAAAAAAAATATACATTACTATGGTAAATTTTCTCAGAAAATACAAAAAATATTATAATGAATAACGTAATCAGAATGAAGTATCTAAATTGAATACATGTATTTTTATATTTTATGAGATTTTCTGACATAAATGTTATTAGAATTTAATAAATAAACTTTTTAACTAAAAAAAATTGCAACAATCACATTTTTTTGATGAAATTGTACATAATGATTAAAATAAATTTTCGAATTCGAGTTTTTTTCGTTATTCATTATAATATTTTTTGCATTTTCTGAGAACATTTACCATAGTAATGTATATTTTTTTACACTATCAGAAAGTACAGATTTCAACGAACAAAAAGCACACCGACTTTTTGAAAACAGCTGATATTTTGACGCGAGAATTTTCGATTGAAAATTAGGGTGCTTTTTTGATATTAAGTCAAAATAAGGCGAAATAATAAATATTTCAAATCAAATAAATTACAGTGTATTTGGGACATAAAAAGGTAAGTTTTCACCAAATTTCGTGGAAAAAATTTTTTTTTTGAAAAAGATAAAAATAAAAAACCATAAACTTGGTTTTTTGAATTTTTCACATAAATTTTGAGGTTATGTAAAAAAATTGTAATTACAAAAGTTGTAGATCCTTTTATTACCTACAACTTTGCCTTTTAACTTTTTTCCATAGGACTTGTAGTTTTGCCGGAAATCGAGATAAACCATTTTTTACACTTAAAACCCCCCCCCCTCCCACTTCCCGAAGTCAGATCGCCCGTAATTTATTTTTCCTTTCATTTTTATTATATTCTTCTCCTTTTCCAATGGGTTTCATCCTACTGTTATTTTTTTTGGTTTCAAAAATTATCGACCCTGGTCTATGAGTACAGATTTTGAAGACTAATTAACTTAAAAATTACGCGTTTCTTCTAGTTTTTTTTGTCGCACATTATAATTTGGAATGTTTTCTTTCAAAATTCATCAAATTTAATGCGAAAAGAACATATTTATTTTTTTGTTTGTCATGGAGTACCTATGACATTTTTTATAAAAAAAAAATTTTTAAACCACTTGAAATTTAAAAAAAAAATTCGATTTCTTTGAATCACCCTAGTAAATATAATTTCTTGTAAATTTTGAAATTGGGAATATGTGAAATAAAAACTTATTATTTACCTGTTACCCATGTGGCATTGAAACTCTTCGGATTCAGCTTCCCGTAGATGACGTCGTCCAGCGACAGAGCTTCAGCTTCGGGCAGCTTCGGGTACTTCGACTTTTGTTTTTTCTCGTTGCTCAGCAACACTATGGCGGCCACGATCAGCGCCAACACGACCACGCAGGCTACGCCCGCTATGATCCAAGTCCGTTTTTTTCTTTTGCCCTTTGTCTGCATTATGAGATCCTAAGAAAAAAGAGAAAAGCTTTGATAATTTGATTTTTAACGGCAAAATTTTAATCTTTGATGTATGATCTATTTATATTTGAATTTGGATTTGACCTATAAGGTTGATTCTTTTAAACAAAGAAAGATATAAAAAAAGCAACCGAAAAATTGAATACCTAATAAGTAATTAGACCAAGGAATCTAATAGCATTCCATAAATGGTGCTTATTTTAATAGGATATTTATTTTTATTGCTAATTAAACAGTAATTTCAATACAAAATAAATTAGGATGATTTTCACAATATAAAAATATCAACCCATATATTACTATAATTTTTCTCATACAAATGTTATAATATTTTTTATTTACTGTGTATAATTTTTTTTATTATTTTTTCTCTTTAAAAGAGATGTAGAATCTGTTAATTAAAAGCAAGTTTGTTTACAAACTTTATTGAGCTCTAATTGGGAATTCAACGTTTATAGGACTTCGTTTGAAAAGCAAAGAAAACAGAGTTTTTTGTTTCGAGAATTGAAATAAAATACAAAACTTTTATTTATTTTATTTCAACCTTTACCTAATATATCGCATACTTTATCAATATAATGGGGATAATTCCTTACGTAACCTCATTTATTATTATTTAAAATTATTTAATGTCAGTTATAAATAACATTTAATTGTTCTTGAGATTTAATCATATTAAATTATGTGAATTTATACTGTTTCGCATTTAGCGTAAAATACCTATTTCAGTAATAAATTTAATTATTCCACATAAAATACCATATTAATATGGTAATATGGGTAATTTTTTTACTTTGCTAACTAAAAATTCCTTTATATACCTTGTCCCTTGATCCAATTGGGTACGTATATTTGTTGCTACAGAATTAACTAATAATAAATTTATCTAATATAATTTATATTAAGTTTAAAAAGTTTAACAAGTAGTTTTGTTACGATGATAACGGCCAAGTTAAATATGTCAAAATAAAATTATTATTTATCACATTTCTAATAAGTATTTATAAAATTATTATTATTAAAATCACTTTTTTGCAATATGAGGCAAATTTAATGTTGAAAATAGCGTATTGGATTGTATTAAAAATAAGTAGGTATAACTATTGTTTGGATAAAAGTATACTTTTATCCTAACAATTCCTTAAAGCTGTTATTAAATTGGGACCGGTAGAATACTCGCATTATTCACGCATTGATTTTTAACATTGGTTTGAAATAAGAGAGATTAAATAGTAAAACTGCCTTCCATAAATAGCTTCAGAAGCAATAACTATAATGGATACGCTAATATTTACATGCCGTCATTCATCAAAAATAGGATGAAAATTTTCTTTAGGTAATTTTATGTATGAGGTGTGTTCAGAAAATAACGAGAAATGTTAAATTTCGCGGCTTCGGAGGGTCCGGTCGTCATAAAATTTTCTTTATTATGTTGGTATATATACAATGTATATATACATGCCCCCGAAGTATGATAAAAACTTTAGCTGTTTTCATTGTTTACTTTGTCTGTGGCAGCCGCTAAGGTTAGACGTATTTTATGAGCTCGGCGATTTTCGTTCGTTAAAAGAAATGGATCAAAGAGAATTTGTATCCAATTTTGCTTAAAAAATGAAATAAATTCTGTGAAATGTTAACAAAGGCCTATAGTGAGTCTGCTATAAGTAAAACAAGAGTTTACAAGTGGTATAAGAGTTTCCAAGATGGCCGTGAAGACGTTGAAGATGACGAACGCCCCGAACGCACAAGCACATTAACAACCGATAAAAACATGGAAAAAGTGGAAGAAATGGTTATAAACCATCAGAGAAGTCGCTGATGATGTTAGTATATCGATTGGCTCATCCCATGAAATTTTTTCAAATGTTTTGGGTATGAAACGCGTGGCAGCAAAATTTGTTCCAAAATTGCTAAATTTTGAACAAAATGTTTGGCCAAAAACAATAATGTAATGATGCCCCAGCCTCCATATTCGCCAGACATGCCTCTGTCTGACTTTTTCCTATTCCCAAAAATAAAGAGAACCTTAAAGGGCCGTCGTTTTGCAAGCATAGATGACATTAAAAGCGCATCGCTGAAAGGACTAAAGGCTATCCCAAAGATCGAGTTTTAGAAGTGTTTCGAGTATTGGAAGAAGAGCTGGCACATGTGCATAATATCCAATGGGGACCATTTTGAAGGCGACAACATTAATGTAGACGAATAAATAAATATTTGTTTCAAAAAACGAAAATTCCCGATATTTTCTGAACACACCTCGTATAAACTCCTCATTAATTATTATCAAATAATCTTTGTTGGTTAATATTTTTGTAAAAATGTTTCAACAATAAAATTGTACATATTTAACTGGCAATTTCAAAGATACGGTCATAAATAACTGAAATAAATTGTTTACGTAAAAAAGGTCGATAATTCCAAAACTAATTTCATGCAATTTTAATTTAACTGCTACAATAACATAAAAATGTAAAATACAAAAAATATGACATTTTTTATTTAACATTTTATTTTTAGTAAGTAACTTTAATAAATAATTCAAATTTATTCAATACAATGTTTTTTCGAATAATGTCTTAATCTCGTACCTTGTATTATAAATTATAATATACTATAGGCAAACAAATATGCATATTGTGCATATCGTTTCATACCTAGTTTATCTAAAGGTTTGTTAAACTGAAAATTCAAATGTTATAATTTTTTCACGCTCAAGAAAAAGTTTCGTGGAGTACCTATAGGCAGTTTATAAACAGCAACTTTCACTTTGTGTCATGATTGCAACAAGTACTGTCTACAATGAAATCAACTTTCTTTTAATGGGATTTATGAATTATAATAGGTTAACCTTTTATTAATTTGCATAAAGAGCTATTTGAACAATAAAAGGGGAGTACAGGGGTTTTTATATAATTTTTTTAGAACAGAAACCAGCCTATGATTTCAGCTGTAATATAAATTTAGTAAATTAAATTTTACTTTAAAATTAGAATTCCCTTTATTTTCTTTTAGTTTTTAAATTTGCGCATGCGGCACTATCAAAATATTTATCCTTTCAGCTCCCATTAAAATGTTTAATGCGGGTGATGGATGTATTTATAGTACTAAACTTAATTAATATACTTTAAAAGGACGTTCCTATTTATGCTTCAAAGCAAATACACAATTTTAAATTGCTTGTTTTAAATTTAATTACTAATTGCTAATTAGTATTTCGCTTTCAAAATTACTAATAAAATAAAAACAACATTATAGGATCATTTGAATGGGGTTATGCAATAGTGCACCAACCCTCACTTTTGCCGAACTAACTATCTAAAAATGAATTAGTCAAAAATGACTAATTTAATAGTTATAGTGGCTGCTTTTTCACTTGTACCATGGTAACCATGGAATACCATGGTATCCCAAAATTAAACAGACAATTCTTATGTAAAATTGTCCCCTGAACCCGAAAATACCGTCAAAAATTATGAAAGTGGAGCAGTTTTTGAGATATAGTCTATTCCATATTAAATAAATAAAGTTTTTAAATTGTTTTCTTTATTTTTGTTGATTGCAGAAAGAAACGGAACATTTCTCTCAGTGTACATAAAGTTCAAATTAAAACTAACTTTTTTAAAATGTTTTGATCCAAATTAATGTATTGTTAAAACGAGTACATCATGAATACAATGCAAGATGCCTCTGCTAAACTAATAAAAGTTTATATTTAAACTATGCAGTGATGATTATTTAGTGTTTAGTATTTAGACTGCATCCACAGGAGTGGGCCAGCAAACGCCGTCCTTCAACATAAACAATTATTTATTTATTCGAAGGAACTACTTATCTTATTATCTAAGTCCTATGCTGTTTTTTATCCTTGCATTTGTTGTTTAGATTTTTCCAAAATGTTCTAAATTTCCAAGTATTTACAAAAAATTTCAGAATTTCTAGTCAAACCTTTCAAACTTTTTAAAATTTTTAAAAATATATTTAAAATTACCAATTTATTTTTGAATTCAGAAGTATTTCGAAGTTTTTCAAATTTTTAGATTCTTTCACACGTCCGTACAGTAGTTTAAATGTAAAAAGTGGGACAGTTGCATAAATTTAAAAAATAGAAAAAATTTGAAATTAACAAAAAAATAATTTTACAAAATAAACCGTTTTTTAAATTTTTCCGAATTTGTTACATTTTCAAATAAGTACTACTGTGGCATAAATTTACAAGATTTTCGAAATTTCTGAAATTTTTAGATTCTTTCAAATGTCCCAACTTTTTAAATAGGTATTTAAAAATTTTCCAAAATTTTTGAAATTCTTAAATATGTCAAATATTTAAAGCTTTAAATTTTATATAATTAACAAAAAAATTTCAAAAATTGTTTTGTTTTTTTCAAAGTTTATGACAAACACCTTTGGATAAATTTAAATAAAAATTTGGGGACTAATTTGCAAAAATTTTAAAAATTTACCAGATTTTCGATTTTAGATTCGTCCAAAAGGTTCTAAATTTACAAATTCTCGAAATTTAACAATTGTTAAATAGGCATTTAAAACTTTTAAAATTTTCGTATTTTTAAAATTTTAATATACATTTAAATAACAAATGGTAGGACAACTTTCCAATTTTTTTTTTAAATTCACCAGATTTTCGATATTTCTAAAAACAGTAGTTCAAACATAAATTTAAAAAATTGTAGGACAAATTTTTGGTTTTCAAGATTTACCAAAATTTTCTAAATATTTAAAATTATCGAAATATTTCAAATTTAATTTTTTTTTAATTGAATTTTTTTTACAAAATTTGTAATCAAACCTTTCTTTTAATTTTCCAAAATGAAATTTAAAAAAACTTAACTTTCCAAATATTTCCAAAATTTTCAGATTAAAATTCCAAAATTTGCGAAATTTTTAAAATTTAAAGTATATTACTATATTATGTATCAAGTTTTATAAACGCAATTTTAGTTACGAGCTTAATTAAGCATGAGCGAAGCTTGCGAGCGAGTGTTTAACAAAAACGAGTTTCTAAAGAAGTTTATAAATGAGTTGCACTATACTTTATCTTCGACGAACACAAAACAGAATTGAAAGCCAATTTTATCTGTTAAAAATTTGACATCTGTCAACTGTCACCCGAATTTTTCGAAAATTTTTCAGATTTTCGAAATTTCTAAAATTTTAAGATTCTTCAAAATGTTCTAAATTGGAGATGTGTTAAATAGGTGGGTATTTAAAATTGTCAAATTTTGTCTTAATTTTAAAATTTCAAAAAAATTTACAAATATTTTCAAAATTCTCAAATTTTTATAATAATTTTTGTACCTATTCAAATTTTTTTTAAAACGTTTACTAAAATTGTATTTAATATCTTTCAGGGTTGGGGTTTTAAACCCCCCTACCCCGAAATTAGTGCACTTTCATGAAAGTTTATTTTGAGATATTTTTAGAAATTCCAGCAAGTTTATGATCTTTATAGTTTTATTTTAATATTATATTTTAAAATACAATTTTTTCCCACTTGTGTAGTGTATTTTTCTAAGACGAAATAAATGTAGTTTGTAATAATAAAATTATGTTATTTACGAAAGTAAAGTAGTAAGTTAAACAAATTTTTAGCATGCAATTCGTCTTGCATGTCCAAGCAATTTAAGCGTTAAAACTTTAACAAGTTTCGTTACAGCTTAAATTAATTTTTATGTCCATATAAACGTAAAATCGGTTCACTTTTGCTTATGTTTACAAAACATTTTTAATGTTTTTGTAATGTTTACTTTCGCATCGTCCATTAAGTTTAACTGTGACAGGAAATCTGTGACAAAGAAAAATGAACATGCGACTGTTTGTTAATAAATTCCGCATTAGCTATTTTTTCTTTTGAGATTAAAATCGGCCACATTCTGGTGAACGTTAAAAAGGGTTTAAAATCTTGATATTTAACTTCCAACACTCAGACCTACTTACACAAAACTAGTTTATAGCTAGGTACTAAGTCCAAAATACCTACTTTATCAGAAGACGTCTGTAGAAAGCAAAGGCTATTTCGTATTATAACTGAGTAGATAAATAAAATTATTTTCTTTTAATTTTGTTATGTCTTTATAGACGTTGTTTAATTAAATAATCAAGAACCTCAATATCGTTTTAAATCATTTGTATAACTAATTAAATGCATTAAGATTTTCGCATTATTCTAAATAGTTTTAGCCACGCACTTACCTTATATACATACATTAATATTATTCAAAAGTAGAATGAAAAAATCTTGATAAACCTTTTTTGGGGGTCTAACGATGTATAGTGTTAATGAGGTTCATAAAGTGTATTTAATTTAATACCTACCTAAAATATTTTTGGATAAATTTCCATATATGGAAATTTATCCAAAAATACATGTATGCAAAATTTCAAATAAAAAAATACCTTAGAGGTACTTAAGTCGCATTGACATTAAAGTAATGTTCTTCATTTATTTTATTTTCTAATGACATTTGCCTATCGGTTCAAGGCTATCTAACTTTAATTACAGTCATTTAATTAGGTGCATTTAAATAGTTTTGATACGTTAATTAAGTAAAGTAAGTGAACTTCCTTAGCAAGATAAGCATTTTTTCATTTAGGTAATTTTATTACCATCTTGAAATTATGTCATGTTGGAGGACGAACTTTCAAGGATCCAAAACAATTGAATTACTTACTCGGGGATATTGATCCTTTGTAATAAAACAATATTAAATTTTCTCGATGGGAGCTTCAGTTTCAATTAAATTTATATTAACGAAATAACTTTTTTTTAAATTTTAGTTGACATTACCTAAAGTACTTAAAAACAAATGTTAAGTTAATTTTAAGATATATTAATAAACCAATTTAGTAAGTAATATTACTCAAAGGTTAAAAAGTAGGATATTTTAGAAGATACATAACGTTATATTGACTTCTAATTTTAACCTTTGACAATGGTTAAGACTATTTTTTAGACATATTTTGGTTTAGTTTAACTTTTGATATTACTTTTTGGTAAATTAACCACAGCTTTGGTTAATTCGGGTATATTTTTTTAAAGAAAAAATATTTTACCTAATATATTTTACTCCCTGGTAAATAAACGTTAATTAATAAACTGGTTAAAAAATTGATGGTTTTGCATTTTGCATAGAAAAATAAAGGTTGTGAGTTTCGTGTGATAATGGAGCCTAAAAGAAATAATTTAAAAAAATATACTTTCTTCATATTACTATACAAAGTTGTAAATCATTAATTATCTACAAATCTTAAACAGTCCCCTGACATTTAATTAATTTGGTAAGCATCTATAGGTTTTAACAGTCCCCTGACATTTAATTAATTTGGTAAGCATCTATAGGTTTTATCATAGAAATAATACTAGAAAAACTATGCGTTTTATAAAAATAAAGGAAAATTTTTTTTAGGTTAGTTATTTAAAAAAAAATTTAATTTAACCATTTTTGGTAATTATTAACTACAATTAAATAACCAAATGGTTTAAATAAACCTACAGGTCAATTTATATTGGTTATATTACCAATAAGAAAAAGCATTCTAAAATCGACATATTGTTTGCTGTCGATTCTAAAAAATGCCATTAATTTTATTAATTTGTTTTATTTCAAAAATAAGGTAATTCAAACAAATTAAGCATTTTAAATCAATTTTAAACGAAATAAAGCAAAAACAGGCAAAAACAATATTTTTTTAATTTTTATTTTCTTTATTTTTTTTCAAAGCGCATTTAAATATGAAAGTATTATGTGCTACTTTTTTAACCCTTTTTTAATAACTAATGTAAAAAATATTAGTTTACTTTTTGATTTTTGTAATATCTTTATAAATTTGTGTTTCTTAATAAATATAAGCTTTTAACTATTTCACATTTTATTCCACAATTTTTACTTAAAAAAATATTTCGGTACTGGATGAGATACATTTACAACATTTATTTTTCATATATATTAATGATTACTCTACAACATTAATTTCAATAAATCAATTAGGGAAAAAATTAAAAATCCTTGTCATATTAGGAGCTATATTCTAGATAACCACTAGACTATACGGGATATATTATATTATATATTGTATATTACTTATATTAAACAAAACTATTAATATTTTTAACATAAATATGTACGTCTCATTTTAAAATTCTAGTAGTATTCTACGAGTTGTGAACATTAAAAAAAAAATCTTTCAAAACTTAAAAAAAAACTTTGACCTAAATATCTTTTGAAAGGCTAGATTTTCAAAAAAAAATCAGGGGATACCTTTTTTATAAATCATTTAATTCCACATTAAAATATATATGTACCAAAAAAATAATAGTAGATTTTTTGAATCACCCTATATATTACTATTATAATTTGTTTAATTTATAAAATAAAACTTATATGTATGTACATAATATGTCATATTATGACCTCATTTTTTAAAATACTGAATATACCAAATATTTTTCTCAGGTAAATCATAAATTAATTCCAAAAAAATTATAAAAACAAATTAATATGTATCAGAAGATATCTTATGAAATAAATTAATTTTTGTTCAAGAATTTTTTTTTATAAAATAAAATAAAAAAACCATTAATTTATGCAAGTTTTTACGTAAAGTAACAAACATAATGACCATAATTTTTTTTAATAATTAATTTTATCCATATATTTAGAGGTTAATAAACTTTGTTACAAAATCTCTTCTTGGCTCATATACATACATACATACAATATATTGCATTTTTAAAACACTGTTATCTTTATTTGGCAGAAGAAAACCAATTCTGGACGATGCAGTGATGTAAGGGATACATTATCGTGTAAGTGGATCAAGAGAGCAGTTTAGGGGTGGGTAACCCCGGCGCATCCACCATTTTTGAAAGTTATGTGGGTATAGATGTTAATAAATTTTATCATTTTTGCAATATTTTTTATCTAACCAAAGCACCTTGAGTGAAATTTTATTTAAATTAAGTAGGTAAAACCTAGTTTATTTTAATTAAATTCATAATAATAAAGACTTAACTGCCTGGGTATTAAAATTTGCTTTTAAATAGGCCAAATTGATTAAGTGGGTTATTGTTAATGCAAATTATTTTTATTCCTAAATAAACAACCGGAAAATTTTGATTTTGATTATAATTCAAATTAAAATGTCAGTATGTTTTAAATTATACAAGTTTGTTACATAAGTTTCGCTAAAAAATAATGCTAAAATACCGGTTTAAATTCCCAATAAAAAACATTTCAGAAAACTTGGTAAAATCGCTGAACACCTAAATCAAATTACCTGGTTGCTCTGTGCAATTTCCAGACTGGAATTCCCATTGGCCGTGGTTTGACCAGTCATATTTCAAAAATTAAACAACTCGTATGTTCGTAAACAAACAAAAAAACACGCTCACTCTACCCAATACGAAAAAACATCACAAAACACTCTACAAAGCCTACTTACAATGTTTAAAAACTTATCTCTACCAAAAAATCTAAAAAAACTGATTTAAATCCTGCGAAAACTCGTAAAGTGCCGAAGTAATTTCGTGTCCGCGCCGTCCACAGCCAACGCAGGTTTACAAAACACTACGCTCGTTTGTCGGCAACTACAGAAGGTCGCACAATCGCTCAGGTGGGGCTCGGAAACGTTTCGACCCTCCCCGAAGATGCTTTGAATGGTTTTGCAGCAGCCAGAGAATGCAACCGCACAACAAATGCATCGTGCACAATGGACCACGCTTTAAAACAGACATTTTGACAGCGCAACTGTCAGAAAACAACTTGATCAATTTGTTTTGGCAAAAATGTATGAAATAACTTAATCAACAAGGATAAAATTGAATAAATTTCATAATTTAATAACTTTAACCTTCAAAATACAAAATTGCAAATAACTAAGCATGCTTTGACATTTTGACAGCGCAGCTGTCACAACTTCAATGTTAATATTTAGGAAATGATTCAGTATTCTTTTTATAAACATAAATTAAATAGCCTGATTTGATTTGATTTTTTAATTTAAAATAGAAGAAAATTGATGAAAACTTAAAATAAATAAAATACATACTTAATAATTTACTGACAACTGTCACAAAAACATCTGACAAACGAACGAACGCGCATGCGCACAGAAACATTTAAATAAAGTAAGGGTTAAGGAAACTTTTAATCTAAAAATTAAATTGCCGACGAAACTAGCGCATAAATAATTCACCAAGACCATTTATTTCGGTCGTAATTTATAGTATTTGCTGGCCGTTCATACATAAACAATAAAAAATATCCGTTGCATGTTTTTCGATGTGATAAACTTGGCAATAAAGGTAACGCACCGCGTTTAAGTTTACGACACCATCTGATTAGCTGGCCATACACAGACGTTATTTCGCGCGGTTTATCGTGGCGTGTTGGCATGTAGCGGTTTGCATGCACGAAAGAACGGCGTGGCAAAAAAAGCGTCATGTTCCATACACTTGATAAAGTATTCAAATGATTTAGCAAGTGATTGCCCGTGGTATATCAGTTTCAAAGGAAAAATCGTATGTGAGTGGGCAAAAAGTGTCATTTATCGAGTCGTTTGAAACTGCATGTGATCATGTACAAATTTTCAACGTGAAATTTTGCCAAGCAAAGGTAAACCGTGATGCGGAATGTGGCGTGTGGACACGCCACATTCCAGAGAAAAGCACGTCTGAAATCCCTTCCCGTTCTATCATTGCGCGCGGCGACACTCACTCACGTACATGATTTTCCATATGTTTTTGCAGATAACACGATAAACCGCGCGCAATAACGTCTGTGTATGGCCGGCTATTAGATGGGAAGTAAATGATTTGTTTAGTTTTCATTTAAATATGTAGGTATTTATAGTGATTATATGGAACTAAACGTTAATATTTAACGCTTAAATCGAGCGTTTTTTAATAAAATTAACAGGACAGCATCAAAATAAAGCAAAAAGTGAAACTATTGAAACTACTACAGATCGACGCAAGAATGGAATAACAAACAGCGCACTAGATTGTGAAAAGCAGCGGCGAACAATAAATACGGACGTGTGTTACATACGGAAACTTACCTTAATATTTAAATAGGAAATTTCTTGGGCATCAAGGACACTGTTAAAAAGTTCTTCGTTATCACTGTTTATTTGTACGTATTTGTATTCGCGAAATGTTTTTTGATAAACCATTTTATTCTTAATAACTATGCCTCTCACTATTTAATACTGTTAGGATTTAGCTAAATGTCAGTGTTAACTTTCTCCATACTATGAAATACCTAACTAATAGGTAATAAGCTTTTGCTTCAAAAACATTGTTTTGGTTGTATAAAATACAACAGTTTTGGGTTTTTTTAGGGGTTTTACTTAATTATAATTTAACTGTTTGGCGGACGCACTGCAAGGAATAAACCACCTATTTTGTTTGTATTGGTGTTTTTATTTATAAATTATAATTATCCGATATTTGAGGTTTTTTGTGATAATGTTATCATAACATATGTGGCTTTAAATTCAAATAAATATATATATATTATAATAAATAAATATATAATAATATATTATAATAAATAATTATATAATATACAAAGTGTCCCAAAAACCGGAAGTAGGTACAAAATTTAATATAATAAATAAATATATTTTTGTTATTACGTAAGTTGAAAAAATTTTTTTTACAATTTTTTTATTTATTATTAAATTTTTTATGGTACCGACGTATTTTTTAATTTTTAAGAAAAAAATTATTATTTTCTAATTGAAAATACATGGAGTCGATCTTAAGCGGCCTAAATTCCATAATAAGTCAAAAATACTTAAAAAATATAAAAATATTCATTCATAAAAATATTCACAAAATCCTAAAAATTGTCAATCCCTTTAAAATTACAAAAATTTTTAAAAATATATAGGTACATTTTAGTATACCTACTTGGTCAAACCTTAAAACAAAACTTCTTTCACCTTTTCAAAATACAAAAATTAAGAATTATTCATAAAACCCTAAAACTTCTAAAATAGGTCAAAACCGTAAAAAAGCCATGGATTATTCATAATATATATATGTACATATATTACCTATAGGTAAACAAAATTATTTTAAAATTGTTTAGAAACATAAAAAACCATAATAGAAAATATTCAAATAATACATAAAAATTCAACATTATTCATAAAAATATTCGCCAAAACCTTAAATTTGAAACTTTTACTTTTAAAGTTTTTACCGAAAACCGTAAGAAATGCAAAAATTATTCAAAAAATTCGGAGTCGAGTTGTTTGGGATAATCCTAATACCGTAAAAAATCAAAAAACTTGTTAAATTAGCTAAAACTTTAAAAATACAAAAATTATAAACCAAGCTTGGTTTTAATTTTTAATGATTTTATACGGTTTTGACAAATCTGTTCCTTTTTTTTTCTTACAAAATAAGAATTTTAATTATTTTTTACAACACAAATACTTTTGAGTAAGTTTATAAACTTTAATTAAACAGTTTAATTAAACAGTTTTAAGGCTAATTTTAAAACTAAATATAAATATTTTTTTGAGTTTTAAGATTAAAGATATCTAAGATATCTAAATATAAATATTTTTAATATTAAAAATATTTATATTTAGTTTTAAAATTAGCCTTAAAACTGTTTAATTAAACTGTTTAATTAACTGTTTAATTAAAGTTTATAAACTTACTCAAAAGTATTTGTGTTGTAAAAAATAATTAAAATTCTTATTTTGTAAGAAAAAAAAAGGAAACAGATTTGTCAAAACCGTATAAAATCATTAAAAATTGTTTAAATTATTTAGTGACAAATTCTATCAAAAACAAAATTACCGAATACCGAAAAACCGAAAAAATACAACAAATCCATCGATTATTCATAAAAATATAAAAAAGAAAAAATTTCAACATTACGTAATGCTATGGACAAAGAAACAACTTTTTTCTCTGTGAAATTACAATAATTAAAAAATTATTCATAAAATATTCTTAACATTTTTCTGTAAAAATTTAAAATTATTCGTAAAAATAATCGTCAAAACCTTAAAATTTTTACTTTTAAAGTTTTTACCGAAAACCGTAAGAAATGCAAAAATTATTCAAAAAATTCGTAGTCGGTTCTTTGAAATAATCCTAATACAGTAAAAATTTTAAAAATTCTTAAATTAGCTACAACTTTAAAAATACAAAAATTGTAAACCAAGGTTTCAAAATTACAAAAATTGTTTAGAATATTTAATCTTAAAACTGAAAAAAATATTTATATTTAGTTTTAAAATTAGCCTAAACTGTTTAAACTTATTTAAAAGTACCTATTTGTGTTGTAAAAAATAAATAAAATTCTTATTTTGTAAAAAAAAAGAAAACAAATTTGTCAAAACCGTATAAAATGCAAAAAATTTAAATTTATAAAAGCATTAAAAATTGTTTAAATTAATTAGTGACAAACTTTATCAAAAACAAATTCACAAAAAAAAATTCAAAAAATCCTAAATTTTCTAAAATTAGTAAAAAGATTTTACTAAAAACCGTAAAAAAGTAAAAAATTATTCATAAAAAAATCCAAAAGTTAAATAATGAAAAATCGAACGATAATTCTATAAAACATAAAAATATTTAAAAAACTCAAATTGTTTCTACTAGTCTTACAACGTTTAAATTTTAAAATAATCATTCATAAATATTGCCTTAAACTAAAAAATTCAAAAATTATCCAAAAGTATTTGTTGTAAAAATAAATAACTTTCGATAAAAAACGTAAAAAATTATTCTTAAAAAACATTAAAAAAGCAATATTTAAAATTTAAAAAAATATTTATAAAAATTCTTAAATTGTCGAAAATTGTAAAAAATTCGAAACTTATTAAAAAATGTTGACGGTAAAAATAAATAAAACTCGTATATTTTGTAAGAAAATTATTTAATTTAGATTCAGCTTATCAATAAAAAAAATTCCAGAAACGACGTTTTTTCGGATAAAAAAATGAAAGTTGGGGACACATTTTTAAGAAACATTAAAATGTATATTGGTAGTAAATATAAATAAGTCTAACAAAAATATCAGTTTTAATAATTTAAATTAAAAAAATAAACAATCACACTAGAATTTTTCCTCTTCCAAGCCGTGTTTAAAGAACATGAGTACTGGAGTGGATTCGCCTTCGATGTCGCGGTATTCCATAAGGCCAATGATACCGTCAGCGTCCATGGATTCGCCAGTGAAGAACTGCAATTCCTTAAACCTGCCCAAGATGTCTTTCATTGCTTTTTGCGTGTTGCTCTTAAAGATTTCTACTTGGTCAGGTTTGGTTTCTTCCAATTTGGCTACTAATCTGCAACAAAAAAACGATTTTAGTTCAAAATACCGCAAATTATTAAAAACCGTATAAAAAAAAATATATTAAGAATAATTTGTTAAAAAACAAATAAAATAAAATTAAATTTGTTTACTATGTTAAAATTAATAGGTAACTGGATCAAGAAATGACAAGTCATCAAAATTGGGCAACCTGTTATCACTTAATTAAAAACACAATATGCCACACATACCTCTTCATGTAATCCTTAAGGTATACAGTGTATCCTTTTTTGTCAAATCCAGTCTCTACCAATCTGTGGTTCAAAACAACATCTACACCGGATTCGACTGCTTCATCTGTGCCTTCATCGGCCTCTTCAGCAGATGGGTTGGAACCTTCAATTTGCACCTCCCCATGTTTACGGGACACGTATTTGGCGTACACTTCGTATATTACATCATCAACCAATTTTATTTTGTAAGTGTCTGAGAACATCTCATCTCCTAAAACAAAAAATATGTTCGATTATTAACAACGAAGTATCTACTAAATAACCTTTTTATTCGGTGCATAATGTTTAATTTATCAAGTATTTAGTGTGATGTGGAGGGTTCAGTCTACAGTTAAATAACTCGGAAATTCTCAATATGTCAGCTGTCATCAATGTCAGATTTCAATGGAGGTTATTGGGACGAAATACAGTCGGATGAAAAAAATATCCCTTGCATCGTGAAAATCCACAATCCAGGTTAAAAACTTACCGCTGAAAATATCCTTGTAGATCTTCATTTTGGCTGATTGCTCGGATTTCGGTTGCTGTGCAAATACACGTCCGTCCGCTGAAACAGTCACCGGAAAAAGGTCGAGTTTAAATTTTGACAGACTAGAAGTAAATTCGAAAATGCGCGCGCACTGTATTTCTTTCGCGAATTACGAATCAATTGGTGAAGATTCGTGGAATTTATTTGCAGAATTGCATTGATTATTAAAAGTATTACCTCGTTGTTAATACAGAATTGTACCTGTGGTGAAATTATTGAGAAAAATAATCAACATAACCTAATTTTGGCTGTCAAAATCACTTTTCTCGTTTCATTCACCACGTGTGGTTGCCGCCGAAACTTCTCACAGATTTACAGAAAAATACAGCAAAAATGGCAAGCGATTTGGAACAGAAGATCATAAAACAAGTCGAGTATTATTTCGGCGATATTAATTTCCCGCGCGACAAGTTTTTACAAGAAAAAATCAAAGAAGACGAGGGGTGGATTCCCATCAAAGTTCTGTTAACTTTCAAAAGATTGGCGAGCATTTCTGATGACCCCGAAGTCATCGCAGCGGCTGTGGAAAAGTCCGAAAACAAATTGGTATTGGTAAGCGAGGATAAAAGTAAGGTTAAGAGGAATCCAGAGCAACCTATTCCCGAGCAAAATGAGGAGAGGCAAAAAGAACTACAAAAACGATCCGGTAAGTTACCTATAGAGATATTAACCAAAAATAGATGTCTTGAGAATGTCAATTTAAGCTAGATATAAACTAATTCAGGGTATTTTTAGCTTATGCCAAAGGTTTTCCACTGGATGAACAGCTAAATGACATTATATTATTCATGGAACCTTATGGAGAAATCGATTGCGTCATTCGTAGAACCCTAAAAGACCACAAATTCAAAGGTTCTTGTTTTATTGTGTTTAAAAATTTCGATGACTGCAAAAAATTTGTTGAACTTGAGTCTGTAAAGTACAAGGAGACGGAATTGATAAGGAAATTTCAGAATAAATATCATGAGGATAAGAAGAAGGAGATTGAGGAGCGTAAAAAGGCGCAAAAAGAGAAAAAAGAGGCCAACGAGAAGCAACAAGAGAAACAAATTGAATTGCCAAAGGCTGCTGTTATTCATTTTACAGGTATTCCAGAGGGAACTTCAGTAACAAGGGAGGAATTAAAAGAAATGGCAAAAGAATACCTTGAAGCACAATTTATTGACTTTAACAAGGGTGATTTAGAGGGTCACATTCGTTTCCCAGCTGAAGGAGATGCAAAAGAGTTCTTAAAAAAAGTTGAGGATGTCGAGGTCAAAATTGGCGAAGTAATCTTAAAATTTAGGTTAATTGAAGGTGATGAGGAGGTTGAGTACCTCAAAAAAACAGTTGAAAACATAAACAAAATGAGGCAGAATAAAAAATTCGGCAAAGGTAATTTCCGGAAACGCAGGGGCGGATTCAATCACGGTGGACAAAACAAAAGGTCCCGAAATTAATTGTAAGTCGCGTTAAATTTGTTCTTTGTATTGTATAAGATTATCTCAAAGTTGAAAAAGTACAGGTAATTATGTTGTATCTGTTGAAATAGATGTTTTAATTTTTTACTGAGTTTTGAATTTTAAATATTATTGTATTGACTGGAGTTGATTGTTATAAGTACAAATGTTTTTTGTACTTGATAAAAGGTTAATAAACTGAAATTAAATAAAAAAGTTTTTTTTTTAATATTTGAACCTTTATAAGTATGAGTGTAGGTGGTGCGATATATAACCGTTAATTGAGCGAAGTTTTCAACTTTAAGTACATACATCAATCAAATAAACAGCTCCTGTATATATTTTAATCAATTCTTTGTAAAAGATTTTTTATTTCAATTTTGAACAACCTAAAGTTTGTTTTTTTATTCGGAATTTGATTGTGTTGGTACTGTAGGCGTATTTACTTTGGTATTTTTAATATTGGTAGGCCTTTTATAGAAATAATAAAAATTTAAAATGGTATAAAATCTGTATAATTTGGATTTTTTAAATGAAATTTAAAATTTGTCAATAAAGTATGGTAAATAATAAATTGCACCAATTAGTTAAAAAAGTTATCTTTTTTCTCAAACTTCAATTTAAATTCAGCTTGTGCAGAACTTGTTTATTTAATGTCATTATAAACTCATAAATTTGGTGTGGGTCCCATATCTAATAATAGAGATATCAGTATACCTAAAATCCACCAGCCGCCACTGGCGGTTAGGAACCTAACTTGATAAAACTTTTTTCATCCAAAGATTGAGCTCATTTAATCAGCATCCAATTAGGAAACACCCTGTATATTAGCTAAGATTTCACCATTATTTTTTCAACAAAATGCAAAGAAACACTTTTTGAAAATACTAATATCTATGCTGGGTTTGAAAGGACTAAGACCAAAACAATTAACATATCCTTTATTTCTTATGTATACATATCTTATCTTTAAATATCGGGGAAAATTTACATAAAATTACGGTTATCAAAATAAAATTGCCTATCTTTTCAAATATATCATTCTATCTGGTTCTCATATATATTAAAAAATAATTAAAATCTTCACAAAATGACAGAGTTACACTTAGGAATAAAATTCTACATAAATGCAACAAGATTCATTTAATATTTAAAAACTAATATCACTACTGAGTTATCTTTGATAAACATCGATTAATATCACGTAATTGGATTAAAACACAGGTGAAAGATTCAACGTTAAACTTTGCAGCGTTTTGTTGCGAATCGCCGAACGATTCGCCCTGGCCGACTTGATAATCTGCAACACCATCATCCTGCAATCGTGACACACGACCATCTGCGAGGCCTTGAACTGGTCCACGTACCTCGAGGCCCGCCCCACGGCCGCGGCTTTGGAGCGAAACCTGGAGAGCGAGCTCAGCGACGTGCCTGGGTCGCTTATAGTGCTTTTGTCCATGCGAACGGGGCTCGAGTCCCTCGAATCGGCGCCCACCGGAGACTTATCCTCCTCCGGCGTGGCCATGATGCTGGGGCTCAGCAGCACCACCGGCACGCTGCTGAAGTGCTCCATGGGGATGTTCATTTTGGAGCAGCACTTCGAGCACACCGTGCGCTTGCACAGCGTGCAACGTTGGCCCCACGTAAAGTCCTCATAAAACATTTCCTTTACTTTCACTGTGAAAAACTGTTAATTTTCAAGATACATTTCGATTTATAACCTTTATAGGTAATTGTGTTTATATAAGGTGACCAACTGTGTAAAGGGGAAAACCAGAACAGCGGTGGCCTGTACGAAATTTTTTTTAGAAAAAAGGTGTTGCCCTATTTTTGCCTGTTTTTTGTGCAACTACCTGTGTTAAGGTATAATTATTTACTCTCAATTGAGTTAAAAAAACACAAATTTCATAATAGTTATTTTATATATGGGTCGTTACACGCCCTATCGGCCACTTTTGTACCCGACCCTTTCGATTTGGCTAAAATTATGTTATATTTTTTCAAAGAAATGTCTTTTTTCCCAAATTTTTTTGTATTTTTTTCTGAAAAGTTCATTCAAAACCAAAAAAAAACGCCCCATTTAGTCAAATTTTGACAAAGTTATGTGTATTTTAAAAGAAAATTGGCAATTTTTTTAAAAATTCGTAACTTTTTTTTGGTTGGGTAAATATATTGGAAAAATTCTGAGAAACTTTTTTAGTGGGGTAGAAAAAAAATTAAGTTCAGTCAAATCGAAAGAAGTTGGGTCAAAAGTGGTCGATTTGGCGTGGAATTCCCCATATATATATTTATAAATTAACTATTATGAAATTTGTGTTTTTAGCCTAGTTATTTTTAGATACCTATTAGGTATACCTAAAAAATTAATATGGATTTATAAAAATTGGAAGTTTATTTTATATGGTAAGCTAAATCAGAACAGACCAGAAACAAAATAGGAAAATCAGAACCTTTATTACCTTCGATTTCCAGTCAGAATGAAGACCTCAAAAACAGTATAGTTCTGATTAAATCAGAACAGTTGGTCACCTTAGTTTATAAAATGTAAAAATGTGACATTTGACAGTTTTCCGTTGTTTCATAGATGGCGCTCTATACAAATTTGTTATTTAAGATTTCACCATTATTTTTTCAACAAAATGCAAAGAAACACTTTTTGAAAATACTAATATCTATGCTACAAACTTAAGGCCTTTTTATGCTGGGTTTGAAAGGACTAAGACCAAAACAATTAACATATCCTTTATTTCTTATGTATACATATCTTATTCTTAAATATCGGGGAAAATTTACATAAAATTACGGTTATCAAAATAAAATTGCCTATCTTTTCAAATATATCATTCTATCTGATTCTCATATATTAAAAAATAATTAAAATCTTCACAAAACGACAGAGTTACACTTAGGAATAAAATTCTACATAAATGCAACAAGATTCATTTAATATTTAAAAACTAATATCACTACTGAGTTATCTTTGATAAACATCGATTAATATCACGTAATTGGATTAAAACACGGGTGAAAGATTCAACGTTAAACTTTGCAGAGTTTTGTTGCGAATCGCCGAGCGATTCGCCCTGGCCGACTTGATAATCTGCAACACCATCATCCTGCAATCGTGACACACGACCATCTGCGAGGCCTTGAACTGGTCCACGTACCTCGAGGCCCGCCCCACGGCCGCGGCTTTGGAGCGAAACCTGGAGAGCGAGCTCAGCGACGTGCCCGGGTCGCTTATAGTGCTCTTGTCCATGCGAACGGGGCTCGAGTCCCTCGAATCGGCGCCCACCGGAGACTTATCCTCCTCCGGCGTCGCCATTATGCTGGGACTCAGCAGCACCACCGGCACGCTGCTGAAGTGCTCCATGGGGATGTTCATTTTGGAGCAGCACTTCGAGCACACGGTGCGCTTGCAGAGCGTGCAACGTTGGCCCCACGGCCCGAAAATGCCGAAGCGGGTTTTCAGGCAGAGAAAACACACGCGCCTGGTTTCGGCCTGGTGGCGGACGCCGCCCTCTGCCGGCAGCGCTTCCAACTCCGCTTTCGTGAGCACGGTCCTGATGTGCACGATTTCCGACAACGTCAGGCTCAACCTGTCGTCCAACGATATCGAGTCCTGCCAGGTCTGCGTATTCGTGAGCTCTATTTGGAAACATTAATAAAATATAAGGTAATGTACCTATCTAAAACGTGAAAAAATATTCTATAAATATAAAAAGTGGGACATCTAAATGTTGTAAAAACATTTTAAAGGCATTTAATGATAATGACTCATATTTCTAAAATATTTAGATTATTTAGCAAAAATAATAATAAAATTGTCTTATTAGACCAGTGCAGAAGCCTTTAAAAATGGTAAAAAGAGAAAAAAATAACAGTAGGATGAAACCCATTGGAAAAGGAGGGGAATATAATAAAAATTACGGGCGATCTGAGTTCGGGAAGTGGAAGGGGGGGGGGGTTTTAAGGGTATTTAAAATATTTATTATTTCGCCTTATTTTGACTTAATATCAAAAAAGCACCCTAATTTTCAATCGAAAATTCTCGCGTCAAAATATCAGCTTTTTTCAAAAAGTCGGTGTGCTTTTTGTTCGATGAACTCTCTACTTTCTGATGGTGTAAAAAAATATACATTACTATGGTAAATGTTCTCAGAAAATACAAAAAATATTATAATGAATAACGTAATCAGAATGAAGTATCTAAATTCAATAGTATGATTTACATGTATTTTTATATTTTATGAGATTTTCTGACATAAATGTTATTAGAATTTAATAAATAAACTTTTTAACTAAAAAAAATTGCAACAATCACATTTTTTTGATGAAATTGTACATAATGATTAAAATAAATTTTCGAATTCGAGTTTTTTTCATTATTCATTATAATATTTTTTGCATTTTCTGAGAACATTTACCATAGTAATGTATATTTTTTTACACCATCAGAAAGTAGAGATTTCAACGAACAAAAAGCACACCGACTTTTTGAAAAAAGCTGATATTTTGACGCGAGAATTTTCGATTGAAAATTAGGGTGCTTTTTTGATATTAAGTCAAAATAAGGCGAAATAATAAATATTTCAAATCAAATAAATTACAGCGTATTTGGGACATAAAAAGGTAAGTTTTCACCAAATTTCGTGGAAAAAAAAATTTTGTTGAAAAAGATAAAAATAAAAAACCAAAAACTTGGATTTTTGAATTTTTCACATAAATTTTGAGGTTATGTAAAAAAATTGTAATTACAAAAGTTGTAGATCCTTTTATTACCAACAACTTTGCCATTTAACTTTTTTCCATAGGACTTGTAGTTTTGCCGGAAATCGAGATAAACCATTTTTTACCCTTAAACCCCCCCCCCCTCCCACTTCCCGAAGTCAGATCGCCCGTAATTTATTTTTCCTTTTATTTTTATTATATTCTTCTCCTTTTCCAATGGGTTTCATCCTACTGTTATTTTTTTTGGTTTCAAAAATTATCGACCCTGGTCTAATAAACCATAAGAAATGGAAGAATTTATATATTATGTTAATTTTTTTAAGGAAATTTTTATTTTAAGGAATACAAAATATGTACGTGTTTATTTTATATTTCATATTGAAATTTTATTACTTTTAGAGAGTTTATCTTAATTTTATTTAAGTAAAGAGTTCAACATATATTATTTGTTGGTATATTTCACATTGAAATTTGAAGAATTGTTTGATTAATTTATTACTGTTATTAATATAATATAATTTATTACTATTATTAATTTATTTTGTAATTTATATAGGCCCTGGTACCAGTTTTTAAACTGTTTTGGGGTCAGCAATGAATATGAAAAAAATGCATTCAATATTTTAAATATATTTGTGTAATGTTGGCAATTAGAAAACACCTTGTATATTAGGATTTGACCATTATTTTTTAACAAAATGCCTAGATACGCTTATATACGCTATATTTCATATTGAAATTTGAAGAATTGTTTGATTAATTTATTAGTTATTAATAAATATAATTTATTACTATTATTAATTTATTTTGTAATTTATATAGGCCCTGGTACCAGTTTTTAAACTGTTTTGGGGTCAGCAATGAATATGAAAAAAATGCATTCAATATTTTAAATATATTTGTGTAATGTTGGCAATTAGAAAACACCTTGTATATTAGGATTTGACCATTCTTTTTTAACAAAATGCCTAGATACGCATATATACGCTATATTTCATATTGAAATTTGAAGAATTGTTTGATTAATTTATTAGTTATTAATAAATATAATTTATTACTATTGTTAATTTATTTTGTAATTTATATAGGCCCTGGTACCAGTTTTTAAACTGTTTTGGAGTCAGCAATGAATATGAAAAAAATGCATTCAATATTTTAAATATATTTGTGTAATGTTGGCAATTAGAAAACACCTTGTATATTAGGATTTGACCATTATTTTTTAACAAAATGCCTAGATACGCTTATATACGCTATATTTCATATTGAAATTTGAAGAATTGTTTGATTAATTTATTAGTTATTAATAAATATAATTTATTACTATTGTTAATTTATTTTGTAATTTATATAGGCCCTGGTACCAGTTTTTAAACTGTTTTGGAGTCAGCAATGAATATGAAAAAAATGCATTCAATATTTTAAATATATTTGTGTAATGTTGGCAATTAGAAAACACCTTGTATATTAGGATTTGACCATTCTTTTTTAACAAAATGCCTAGATACGCTTATATACGCTATATTTCATTTTGAAATTTGAAGAATTGTTTGATTAATTTATTACTGTTATTAATAAATATAATTTATTACTATTATTAATTTATTTTGTAATTTATAAATAGGCCCTGGTACCAGTTTTTAAACTGTTTTGGAGTCAGCAATGAATATGAAAAAAATGCATTCAATATTTTAAATATATTTGTGTTATGCATGTGGGCAATTAGGAAACACCTTATATATTAGGATTTGACCATTCTTTTTTAACAAAATGCCTATAGTTTTAAAAGTAAACTACGTACACGTCATCAATCAGCTGATCGGGCACGGTTGTCAATGTGATGCTAAAATCCTTGCATCAAGGGAAAGTGGTAGTGCAACTACAGGGCGATAGATGGCGTTTACATGAATAATACCAAAATGTCAAAAGTCTGAGTTTTTATAACCTATATGATGCACCGCCAAAAGTATGTTTTTAGCCATTTTTAAAGACATTTTCTGATATTAAACCCAAAAATTTTGCCATCTAAAGTCAGTCTCTGGTATATATATTATAATTTCATGTATCCAACATATATTTTGTTAAATATTCTAATATATAATTAATAATAATCCTATTTACCTCTCTAACAGCTGTTAAAGGTAACAAAGGTCCATTATTATCCCGTTCTGCCTCAAAATAGCGTATTAAGGATGACACCAACTCTTGACTCCGACTATTTAAATGCTTCGGCATTTTAAATATAGGAAACACAAAAAAACGATATATAACAAACACAAAAACGGCAATGAAAACTTAAACGATATAAAATAACACAAACAACAAACAAAATAAACGAAATAATACACGAATTAAACGAAATATTCAAAAACACAACTGACAGCTTCGAAATTCTAAAACGTCAAATTCTTTTTTATGTGTCATTTAAATATGAAAAATTTGAATGTAAACATGACAACATCACAATTGTTGCCAACTTAATTTGGTTAAAATGCATTCAAATATTCAATTACAGACTTCGATTTAGTCATTTAGTGTTGGTACCAATGCGTAAAATTTTTGTTTTATTGATGACGTGTACGTAGTTTACTTTTAAATTTACTATAGATACGCTTATTGAAATTACTAATACCTATTTGTATGGCTCTCGCCACCTCCGGCTCCAGCTGCACCGACTCGGCTTCCGAGCTGTTGCACGATTGTCTCGAGCACGGGCGCGACTGCGGCACCGAGTAGCATCCCAGATTGTTGTCCACCACGCCCAGGGTGTGCCTGCGAATGCGGCTGGCCGGGGAGTAGTCGTCCATGGCCAGATCGTACGCCTCCAAGGTGCCGTCTATCGCGTGCGGGTATTCCGAGGACCAGAGGCCCGGCTCTGTCGTAGAGTCCGGGGTGCACGCTTCTTCTTCGTCTTCGTCCTCTTCGAACTGAGAGAAGTCGACTTTTATGAGTCGGCGCCCGGCCGCAGGTCTCGCGTTTTCCTCTCTAGGACTGGACTGCAGTTTCAGTTTTTGTACTACGTAGTTTGTCCTAAGAAAAAAAACATCGTTTTAGTTATTGGATTTAAAAAAAATAATAAATGCATTACCAAGCCATGTTCAAACTAATTATGTACACATTATTTATTTATTTATTAACATGTAAATGTTAAATTTATAAACCTATTAGTTAGACTTTTATTACCAGAAATACGACCTTCCTATAATGGTGGATTTAAGACGCTCATATTTTTTTTACTGCCATATTGACAAGCCATGGCTTTATGGCGCTTTGGTCACGGGCTGAAGTTAGCAACCGGTTTTTAGTCACGGGTAGAGATGCAACTTGAAAAAAAACGGTCCGTTTTTTTTTGTTTTTTTTTCATTGTATTTTTTCAAATGGTTTTTTAACATTTTGGTTTTTTTTTCAAGATTAGTCCCATTTGCCTAATTTTTTATATTTCCATGGACTAAAATTAGCCACTAAATGACAATTATTAAATGTAAATACAGTCTCGCGCTTGTTTTGATTTGGTCCTAAAAAACTACATATAATATTTTAAATTCAGCACTTTTTTCATGATTTTTCAAATTTATGTAGAGTATGGAATTTTTTTTTCAAAAAACAATAGCAAATTCTTGTAGAACATATATTCATTGGTGGTCAGAACATTCCGTGGACCAAAAAAGAAATAAAAAAAATCGATTTTTTTTATTACGGTATTCGTTAGAATTAAGCGTTGCACGTTTTTCATCTAAAAATCTCAAAACTATAAGCTTCAAGCTTCAAATTGCTTTTTTTACGGCTCCAATACGACCATTTTTAACAGATATACAGCTCTCCGAAAAGTCACAAAAAAATTTTTTTATCCTTTAATTTATTAAGTTTTACATTGCTATTGGTTTTTAATGTGGAAACTACAAAATAATAAGAAATCAGATTTTTTAGTCTTGGTAAAAATGTTTAATAATGAAAAATGTAATGTATTCTACATTTTACTCAAAATTTCATTTTGAAAAAAAAACGGTTTTTTTTTCTAGTTTTTTTTTCATGTTTTTTTTCACACCTGAAAAAAAACCGTTTTTTACATCTCTAGTCACGGGCTGAAGTTAGTTTTAACTTAGTTGACAGTTGTCAAATGTCTTACAATTATTAAAATAAAGTGCCTTTCTTGAAATATAATACTAAGTGTGAAAATTATTTTATAATCTCAATACAAAAATTCAAAAATATTAAATAGTTTCTCGACGCCAATATTTGAAAAGATTATATAAACGTTTGTACTGACCTTTTGATTTCGCCGTAGTAGTGCAGTTAACTATAGTTAACTGAGTAAAAGAGGGGATAATGTTTAATGGGCACTGTACGCAAATTTTTTAAAAACATATAAATCTATAGATTACTGCGAAAAACTGCTTCTATATCGATTGTTAGTCTATTTTCAAGGGATAATTTTTGATTTACACAGAAAAATTAAAATGGCAATTTTAAAGTGCTATAAATTGTTTTTTGAAATTTCCATAAAAAATATACTGTAATAATCAATTTCTAAGCCATGGCAATAACATAATATAGTTTATAAACGAATTTTTGAAAGAATATATGAAAAATAACACTTGTGCAGAAGTAATATTTCCCACTGTTAATCCATAGATTATTTTAAAAATTCGTTTTCAAACTCGAGAAACAAAGTATGCCTTTTTATAAATTAAAAAAAAATCAGTCTAAAAATTTCAGGGTGTCCCAAAATGGCACAGGCTATAATAAGTAAAAAGTATAATTTTTTTTAAGACAAATAGTTTTTAAGTGAACTCGGCAACGCTGTTCTATCACACATCTAAAAACGGTTATGGAAACAAAATAAACAACGCATCAGATGCGATCTGAAATTAGCATGGTTACCATGGTTCATGTTAATGTACCTATGTTTGTGATTATTAAAAAATATATATATTTTTTAAAACGACTTTTAAATTTAAAAATTAAAACTTGTTTTTTATCGTTTTATTCAAATAAATAACCTCAAAACATTTAAAAAGAATTGATCCCTTATAACTAAAGCTTGGATTGTTGGGTTTTTAACTTTTAAGTTAAATTAAATTACATCTTAAATTAAATTACTTTTCTGTTAGAACCAGGCTAAACTCGTCGGAAATTTGTTTTACATTTAAAATTTGACTTTACAAAATTTAAATTACACATTTTTTCAATAATTTAAAAATAAATGTGTTTTAAAATGTCATTTTTAAATGTTTATTTATTTTTACCATTTTTACAAAATTTTAAAATACAAAAATTCATTTTTATCAATTCCTTTTGAAGGATTAATTATAATTTTAATGGTCTATTATTTCTTTAAAATTTGATAGTTTTAACTACAAATACCTACCTAATTATAGGTACAAATACCTACCTAATTATAGGTATATTATAGGTATAAGAAATAAACATAACTTTCGCGAAATACAAACAATTATTTTAATACGTATGTAGTTTAATGCACAGCATTAAAAATGCATTTCATGTTATGTAATGCAAATACATTTATGTTATAAACTTCCACAGGTAGTTGTACGTTCATTCAGGAATTTCGCAATAGCATAACTATTTATAAGTTAATATTTCCGAAAATCATTAATTATAACATTATATTGAGAATGTAATCAAATTTAATAACAATTATCCAAACAATTATCAATTAATTACTTTTCACTGCAATGTTTTTATGGAACTATTGACGCATTTAGGTTTTAATAGCAATAATTACGCTCTACACACGCCAGAAACAACATTAGATCATCAAATAAAAATAAACAGTCAAACTTACTTTGGTACAGGTTTCAATTTTCTCCCTTTTTTAATGGAGTTCAAAAGTTGCTCTCTGGGGGTTAAAACAGGGGTTCTGGGGGAGATTTTTCTATCGGAAGCTTTCTTCAAAGGAGGTCTAGAGCGGATAAAATTTAAAATAATATTGTGAGCATCTTTGGTGATTCTAGACGGAACATCTCCGTTCACCATGATTTTTCTCAGGTTATACTTGCAATTCCTTATGTCTTTCATAAGAACCTCATAGGGGGTTAATTCGTATTCGATGGGGGCTTTACTGTAGTTCACTTTTTTTAACTTGACGCCTGTACGTAATTCCCCCATGACTTGCACCCAGAACATGGCCCAGTCGGAAAATTGTAGCTCATTTAAACTTGAGTGGTTTGAGCTGTTTGAGGGTAGTATACCTTGTGCAACTTTGTCCAAAAATGTGGATAATTCTAGAGCTTCTGCAACTAATGCCCTTACAACAGCTTTGTAATGAGCTTCAATTTGGGATTTGGTGAGAGTTCCTAGGTGTAACTCGCAACGCCGTATCACCTCTTGTAGGGTTATGTGTTGTGAGCTTTTGGAAGTGCCTGGTTCCTCGTTCTCATCAGTTTCAATACCTTCATCATCTGTCTCAATATGGCCTTGTTCAATGGAATTTGTGAGATCACTCGATATCATATCACTTATAACCTGCTCCAAGTCGTTGCTAATCACCCGTTCCTCCCCATTTTGTGTGCGATTATCCAACGCTGTGTATATTACAAACCCCAAACCAGCCACCACATCTTTTTCACTCAAAAGCAGTTTCCTGCTGCATTCTTGCGTTAATTTAACCGTTTTTTCGTGCACATTACCGTCCGTTTTCAAGTAAACATGCTCCACCTCGGTAACACTCCAACAATCCCTCCTTTTTGTTTGTATACACCCCCTAAAAAACTTGGCGCACTGATAACACAAAGCCCAGGCATGTTCCTCGCGTATCGCAGAGTTGAACGAGTTCAAAATGTCACTCAAACGCACGCTGCCGTCCGTATTCACTTCACATTTCGATTTTGAACTCATGTTTGTTTATCAGTCACACAAAACTGGCCTATTTTACGTTACATTTGACATTTCTTAACCTAAAATCAATCGCGCGTCCTTGAATCTGACAGCTACTCCCACTACGCGGTATTGATCGACCCCAAAAGCAGTCCTACCAGCAGAAAACATTTACATTAAAATAAGAAATTACTTCTCTATAACTAAATATTATTAATTATCATATGACGCCAGTCAATGCTTATTTAATAATTACCGTTTAATTGCAATAATTAATTGTTTTTAGTAAATATTTTCATTTAATTATGTATTCGTGGTTGCCTAAATCGTTGACATTTGTCGAAAAATGCCGGTCTTTTGTTTATATTTAATTAATTAATAATATGAAATAGGTAGATGTGACATTCTTTATTATCTAGTTGTGGGCAGCTTTTAATATCCTATTCTTCAACTATGACATGTTAAGTATGGTAAGTTATTTAATTTTTAATCTACCTACACCTATTTTGCAACATTTTTTATACCTATAACAAATAGAGAAATTAAGCTTTCAGTCCTTTAAATGACTCATTTTTACTTTTATTGTTTAAAATAGTAAATTTAAAGGCAATATTTGAGGGATGTTCTTGAAATTTACGAGTTTACTTTCTATAAAAAAATGATTTCCAAAGAAAGTAATAATCCAATCAGAGCTAGTGTGCTGTGGAAAATGCTGTGCTCTGATTGGTTAATTAATACAAGCAATTGCTTTTCAAAGAGAATATTTTATATAGGACCTAGATATTGAAATAATAATTACGTTTATTGTCCCTTTTTATACCTCCTAAACAATAAATTAATATTAATTAACAATGTTAATTTGTTTGTTTAATTACCTATGTATGTTGCAGCAGTATCCCTATGGGGGTGGTTAAATTAAGGGCGTAAAGTCATTTACAATGCAAATCTTGACCAAACCTTCTAGGTGTTTCAAGAAAGTAAATAAACCCTTTATTCTGTAAAATTAACTATTGATAGAATCTTTCAGGTTGGTTATTCACGAAGTAAAAACTTGTGTAGGTTGCAAAAATAAAGTTTGAGAGTTTTAAATCATTATCTACTTTCCTTAGAAGCAAAAACTTTTAAATCAACTAACAAATTCATTTTACTTAGAGCTTGGCCTGAAAAATACGTAATTCTAATGAATAAATTTTGTAAGCTTTTAATATTCCGATTGGCTTTCACTAATGGAAGGCTTCTAGATAGTTTGTAAGAGAAAATCTTTAAATAATTTTTTTAACTGTTGAATATTAAGTTCACTTTTGTAAGGACATTTAATCCTTTCTGAAATTAATAAGGCTTATCTTTAAGCTGGTGATTATCCTTCATAGTGAAATTGGACCCTTTTGCAAGTTAAACACTATGTTAAGTTTTTTATCCTTAAAAAACGAAATAATCCTGTAAACCTATTTTTTTTTGCTTTGAAGCACTTTTATTTGAAATAAGTGCCTTAATAATTGTTTATTTATGGCTTAAACCATTAGGGCAATAAGTAAATTCAATATTTAATGAAAAATCAATAGCGTTGATGTTTAGCATATAAACTATAAATGCAACAGTCTGGAATGAAATTGGGTCCATTAATAAAGCTATAAATTTGGCAAAGTACCTAGGTACTATTGCAATGAGCAAAAAAAAAAGAAAAAAGAAACTGTCATATTTTTGTTTTTTAAGTTGGCAGCATGAAATTTGACAACTTTATATAGTAAAAAAAACAAATTAAATTTTGAAGACATTCCATGAAAACTCTTTAAATGGAGATATTACCTTAATCGAATTATTTTAGTTATAAGCTCGATTGTAAACGGTTTAAGCACGCAATTTATTTGTTACGTTTATATTTACTAAACAAATGCGTGTTGAGTAGTAAATTAACTTTTTTTTGTCATCTGGTGGACTTGCATAGCATTGCTTATATTTAAAAATCGGTAACAATACATTTAAAGCACAGATTATACATCATTTTTAAATAAATAGGTAGTTTTTTCACAAAAGAGAGAAAGGCAAATTTTGTTCAATAATTGATAATAATTGCAATTATTGCACAGCTAAATCGCGCACGTTATTTGTGTTTTGCGTTGCAAGGAAAAAATTAAAAACTTTTAGTACTCGATTTCGATTGATTATTCCTTAATTATATCGTTGATTAAGAAACTCAACGCTTAAATGCTTATATAGTTACGTTAGTGTGTGCATTTTATCTAAGGGATCATGGGGAATTATTGTGTTTTTAACTGTAAATAAAATTCAAGAACTAAATCGTTGCATTTTCATGTTTTGCCAAAGGATCCAATTCGGTAAGTACATTTGTTGGTGCAGAATTAACTTATGATAACTCTACCTAATATAATTTATATTTAAGTTTGGACTTTTTAAGAAATTATTAAAAAATAATTTTTGCACAAACATAACCTTAAAATCAACCATTTTTATATTTGAGTTCTCTAAAAAACGCCGACAACTGCATTTTAAACAACAAAATATACCTACGAATTCATGGCAACATAATATTATATATAATACATAATATAATGGTATTTTACCGTTGAGTGGAGACTTTCTTAATCAACGCTTTTAATAATGCTAAATGCTGTTTAAATTCAGACGACTTATTTGTTTGACGATTTTTACTGAATTGAAATGTTTACACTTTTTACGTTATTCACTACTAAAATGTGTATTTATTGTATCTAATAGGTACAATTTATATTTACAGAGACTGTATGCAATTTATTTCTTCATTCAGATTAACAAGTTTATTGGAAAACCGGTAAAAACTCAACCCAGGATTTCCTCTCGAAATACACCCAACAACACAACAAATCGAGCCACGGTTTTTTTCGATATTTTTAAACATTTTCAGGCTTTATTCTCAAAAAGACTCGTTTGTAACATAAGCGTCTGACAGCTGATTATTAAAAGTTTTACTTTTGTTATTGATAACAGCCGAGTGGTGGCGCTACCAGCGATACTTCTTTAGCGTATAAAAGTAGACAAAAATACAGAAAAAAATGAACGTAAACAATTTAAGTAGGCAGCTGGGGTTAAAATGGTTGACAGATTTATTCTCACAGCTTACGGACATAAAAGTTTAATTAAAACTTCTTGCTTTCTTTAATTATTTACATTTTTAGTACCCTATTTAAGAGGTTATATGTCATATTTAATTTCCTTTATTAAATGAAAAATCCTGTATATTTATGCCCAAAGCTTCGTTTAAACATAAAATATACTGCATTATTTTTTTAATGGTTCTTTTTAAACTTCATAAAGGTTTTCATAAAAATAGGCCAAGAAAAATCTTGTGTTTTTGTATCTTGGTTTGTATTTCAGGTAGCAACGGAGCGATGGATCGACGTGATTTTTTTGTATAGTACTTAGGCCGAATAGACTTTTTACTTTAGAAAATGTAGTTTAGATTTTCACTTTGTATGTTTTAAATCCTTTGACTGCTGAAGTGCGTTTGTCTTGAATCAAATACTTCAACCCTTTATAAACTTACAAGCACCGCTAGCAGAAGTATTGGAACGTCTAGTAAAATAAAACTTTATTCAACCCTAAACCCTCGAATAATCCTACGGTTATTATAGAAATGTATGCACCCCTTGTAATGTTATTTTGTATAATATGAGTCATTCCCAAAAATTCTTCTTAAGGGCTACTAAAAGTGATTAATATTAGGGGTAGTAGTGGCCATTTGTAGCTAACTAACTCAAAGGAGGAAGTCCAACGCGATTGGCTTTGAAATTATTTCCTTTGCTAGTAAAATTCTGGATTTACACTGAAATTCGATTATCTGAGAGTGTTTCCAGTAAATAACTAACTTTATTAGATTTTTAAAATCAAACAAATTATAACCTACTTAGTAACTACATACATAATTTCCCCTATCGTAATACGACCCTCAGCTTACTTCTTATTTTATCTATTTTTACCAGTTTCTCTGGTAACACAATACGTATATCCAATGCGGTTTAAGTTTCGACTGTTTTTGGGGTTGCATCAAGAAACAACGCGTTGCGGCGTCCAACTTAAAATTCAATTAGTGCATTTTGATGTTGGAGACTTATTCCCCCTTACCCCCTCCATTACCTTTTTTCTCGATTGTTTGCCATCAATTTTTTATCAGTAATATTGTTTAAAAAACACTTAATTAATCAACAAATTGTTTATGACAACCTGAAAAATTTAAGCCATTAAATTTTGAACAATGATAGATTACGTGGTAACCATAGATACCGTCAATTCACCTGTCACAGGTTTCTTGATGCATAATAATATTGAAAAATTTTGAAATTGTAAAATTTCTCTGAAATTATTAACTTTAGTTATAGGGAATTTGCCCTGGGATTTCTCAGGTAATTTATTAAAAATTTTTAAAGAATTGACATTGAAAAATGTTTTAAAATTCAAAAAATTCCACTGCCATATCCACAAACCTAATAACAAAAAGGTTGTAGGGTATCTATGATTGACACGCATTTTAATGAAAAAAAATTAATAACTTAAAAACTATTCACTTTACGTAAAGTAATTTTACTAACGAGAATTGGCATTTTGTTTAAAATATTTTAGAAAAATAAACTTGAATAAACGCTTTTAAAATTTCAAATCGATATCTTTTTTTGTTCCCCTGAAACTTCTAATGGACTACGAATGTGAAACACCCTGTATAATCGACAGACAAAAAATGTATTGATTAGGTACACTTGAATTTAAAAAAAATTGCTCCAAAAAGTACTTTGATTTTTTCTTAAAAAATGGCGAATGCGCCGGGATTAATATAGCAAAAACGTGAATTATATTATTATTATTAGAGATTGGATTTTAGGTTGCAAAATATATAAAAATAGGTTCCTAAACAGGTCAAGTTTTTTCTTGTTTTAAGTGAGAAAATTCGGTACGCAAAATAAGTACTGGAAAGCAACTTTTAGGTGGTAAAATAATTAAATTTATTATTTAAAAAGATTTTAATTATTTAAAAAATTTAAAAATAACTGACGGAAATATCTTGTAAAAATATTATAATATATAGGTACCTAACATCATAAATTTTATAATTTTTGTTAATTTCTGTTAAAAATAAGAATTTAGGTGAAATACGTAAAATTACACTACTTTAGGTAGTAAAATGTAAAAATTAGGTCCATTTATCTTAAAAATTAAAATTTAGGTAAAATAGGTAAAATAAAATCAGGCTCAAATGAAATCATTTTCTTCAAAACGGATTTTATTCCAATGCACCTAAAGTTATGATTAGCGTAGACAAATAGGTAATAACACTAAAATCCCATCTCTAAATATATATTATTATAATAATTATAATTATTATAATGTATTTAAGGAAGCCTAAAAATATTTTTTTGTAAATCACAAGAAATGGAGACCATCATAAATAAAAACACGTTTATAAATATTCATTCATATTCAAAACAAAACATACGAAATCCTGTAAATATTGTCAATATTTACTAACATTGTGTAACCCAAAAATCGACAATTTAAAGCTAAAGCTCAACAACGACGTAGAAAAATTACGCCTATAACAAGCCTACTACATACACCAAACGCCACAAGAAGAAGTGACGTCACGCACCGTCGTTGGCGTCCGCCGCGCTACCCACCGCCTCGACGTCCGCCGACACAAAAATCACGTGCGGCGTCGCTTCGACAGTCACTTGTTCGCCACCGGCCCGATAGGATCTACTTAACGTGTGTGTAGGTGCAGAGCGCAACAGTCATCGGTATATACGTATACGTAAAATAGTGACGGTTTGTTAGTTAGTGACTGGAGATGTTGCAATAAAAATAAACTAAAATTTTAGTTATAACTATGCAGGCCAAAGTTGATCCTCTGGCGTCCCCATACGTTAATTTAAACAAATTTCAAGGTATTTACAACATAAATTAAAATTATCTTTAAGTTTAACTAATAATAATAATTATTCGTAAAACCAGTTATCGTTACTTATGTTTTGTATTTTATTTTACTATTCTATGATATGCATATACGAGGTGTTCAGAAAATATCGGAAATTTTCGTTTTTTGAAACAAATATTTATTTATTCGTCTACATTAATGTTGTCGCCTTTAAAATAGTCCCCATTGGATATTATGCACATGTGCCAGCTCTTCCAATACTCGAAACACTTCTAAAACTCGATCTTTGGGATAGCCTTTAGTTCTTTGAGCGATGCGCTTTTAATGTCATCTATGCTTGCAAAACGACGGTCCTTTAAGGTTCTCTTTATTTTTGGGAATAGGAAAAAGTCAGACAGAGGCATGTCTGGCGAATATAGAGGCTGGGGCATCATTACAGTATTGTTTTTGGCCAAAAATGTTGCTCAAAATTTTAGAACAAATTTTTCTGCCACGCGTTTCATACCCAAAACATTTAAAAAAATTTCATGGGATGAGCCAATCGATATACCAACATCATCAGCGACTTCTCTGATGGTTTATAACCATTTCTTCCACTTTTTCCATGTTTTTATCGGTTGTTAATGTGCTTGTGCGTTCGGGGCGTTCGTCATCTTCAACGTCTTCAACATCTTCACGCCCATCTTGGAAACTCTTATACCACTTGTAAACTCTTGTTTTACTTAAGCAGACTCACTATAGGCTTTTGTTAACATTTCACAGATTTATTTCATTTTTTAAGCGAAATTGAATAGAAATTCTTTGATCCATTTCTTTTAACGAAAGAAAAATCGCCGAGCTCATAAAACACGTCTAACCTTAGCGGCTGCCACAGACAAAGTAAACAATGAAAACAGCTTAAGTTTTTATCATACTTCGGGGGCATATATACCAACATAATAAAGAAAATTTTATGACAACCGGACCCTCCGAACCCGCGAAATTTAACAATTCCCTTTATTTTCTGAACACACCTCGTACTTTTACTGGTGCTGCATTTTTGCATTTGTGATAAGTAATGGTTGCTTTTGCACAGAGGTAATAATAATTATTAAGGCAATATTTTTTCATTAAAACGTCGGCGAATTGTTTTAAATTGCAAATGCACGTTATTTATTGTGGAGTATTTTTAGCCTTGCGGCTTTTCATGGCCAGGTTAAATAGGTAGTTGGTAGTATTTAAAATTGGGTTTGGAAATTTTGCGGTCAATGCTATACTGTCGAAAATATTATTTTTTGTGGCTTTATGAGCCAGTGGTTGTTGTTAATCTTGAACATTCCGCGGTCTTTTTGTTTTTCCCTGTATACTAATCAATTTTCTAATTTTTTTATGCCTAGAAAAAAAGTATTTTTCAGTACCTACAGAACCACATTTTTAAATTTTTTGGATTATCGAATTCATTCCATTTGGATGATATACAAATTGTATATAGTATGCTTTTAGAAGGATACTTGGTCCACCCTGTACATATAACTAAATGTTTTAAAACCTTATAACTTAAAACGTAAAAAAGATATATACAAAAAGTACGTAGGGTTGGACAATTAACATTAATATTGTAAAAACAAGAGTTCCATAAATAGTTACCTTAAAGTTAAATCATTAGATGACGCTGTATTCAATTATAACTATCTCAGTCGGTAATAATAATATATATTATAGAACTACTTTATTTTGGGTCCAATATAGGACAAAAAAGTTCGCACGTTACTTTGGTGGTAATATTTTTGTTTTTTTTTGTTAAGAGCAGGGCTGTTTTTAAATTACAATAAAAATATTTCTAAAAAGTGTACAGATCAGTGTGTGGTATAAATGTGTTCCTCATGGTTTAAACATTGTCACTTTAATGCGTTTTAATTTTAATTCTAAAAACAAACAGTAAAATGGCCAGTGTCCAATTACTGGTTGGTAAAAAATGTAAATTTCTATTATTGGACATACGTCCAATATCATACTCTATTTATATTCTGGGCATTTACCAGCCAATTCTTATGTAAAATTGTCCATTGAATCCGAAAAGACCGTCAAAACTATAAAAGTTAAGCAGTTTTTGAGATATAGTCAATTCCATATTATATGAAAACTTGATTATGTTTCAAAAACTGTTCTACTTTTATAAGTTTTGACGGCATTTTCGGATTCAGCGAATAATATTTCATAGGAATTGACTGCTAAATGTCCTGGATACAAATTTCTGTTGACGAGAAGTATTAGTGGCTGCTTTTTTGCTATGACATTTTTGGCAAATTCATTTTTAGAGAGTTAGTAATGTAGTGATTTCTTCGTCACAGGACATCTTGCAGAATAACAGTGATTTAAATACAGTGCATGATAGAGAACATAAAAACTAATGGCAACAAAATTAATAAAGTTGGAAAATACTTTTAACATACCACCCGAAAAAATATTAGATATATATAAATCATCCTGTTCCGTCCTAAACATTATAAATGCTTCACAAACTAGAGATACCACACTTAATAATATTTGCAACAAACTATTTCAGAAGTCAGACCAAGGAATTAGTATTTACCTTTAGAATCCAGAGAAGGGATAAGGAATCCGAGAAAGAAATTAATGAATTATATGAAATAAAAACGAAATAATTATAATAATAATAAACGAAATAAAAAAAGTTACCTAAAACAGCAATTTATCTTAAAAAAATATTTAACAATTTATGTTATTTGATGTAAAGTTATTAGATATTAATTTATTTTCTTTTTACTTAAATTTAATTAATTATATTTGCTAAAAATAACCATATAATTTTAAGAACTATAGGTATAAAACATTAATGGTATTTTTACTACCTAATTTAAGTTTAAATCTAAGACGAAACTATATTTCCTCGAAACGATGTTTTTAATGATTTCCCACAAATGCAATCTCAGGAAATCATCTCTTATACAATTAAATTTATTTATTGTTATTTTTATTATCCAATTATACGAAAATCTGTTATAGAAAATGATTATTAGAATCGAAATATGCAGAAATATCCGTTCCACCAAACATTAAAATTTATTTATTATTTTTATTATCTAATTTTACCAAATTATTTACCTTTGTTTTCTTATCCTGCAAGTAATATTTTTTATTGCTTTAAAATCCCTACTTCAAAAATTTTAATGAACAAAATATAATAGTCCATGGGCCGCGCGGAATAGGCAGTAAAAATAATACTTCCAAATAAAAATAAAACGAAAATAAATTTCCAACAATATTTATCTCAGTGTAGTAGTATTGGTTTTGTTGTTTTGTGTCTTTTGTTGTGGAATTTTTATTTACCCTTCGAGCAAAATAATTTATCCTTTGGGAGCGATCTGGTAAAGTTATGCGGTCACTGATGAGAAAACTTTTTAATTTGATAAACTTCGAAAGCTCTAAATCGTTAAAAGTAGGCAAATATGTTTCCTCTTGACACAAAATCAAACAGCCATAGAACTGCATTTCTTTGTTTCTTTTAATCCTTTACTTAAAAGAAGTGGAACACAGCAAATATGTCATTAGAATGCAAGAAAATTGACGTTTACCGAGAGGAATAAATTAAGATAATGTAATGGCAAAATGGTTATATACATATCGATGTAACAAACTACTGTATCTGATTATTCTGCTCCATTTACCCATGAAAAGGTTTTGGGAATGGTTTTCTATTTTCGGTAACAATAGCTTTGTTATGCTGAAGCCATTCGCTTAATGGTACCCACAAATTTTAGTTATACAATTAATTAGAAATATTAAGTATACATCTAAGCATGCTATTCTAAGGTTTAAATGATTTATTTTTATTGTGTTTTTTTTCCTGTGAATTTTAGTTCTTAATCTTTTTTATATTGTCTTTGATTTATTGAACGGATTTTTATTATGATTTTTATGGCAATTCTTTGACGCTTGCCGTTACTGTATATATACTCTTTTTTATTTTATCAAAACCCCATTATTAAAAACTATAAAATATCAAAAGGTTATTGAAAACTATAAATTAAATAATTAATATCTCAGCCCAAAAGGAATAAATGTGCATAATCACAATTTCATGATGTATTCAAATTTACAAAAAAGAGGGGAATACAATTTTAAAAAATGGCCGATTAAGTCAGAGATTCTACAAAAATAGCGGAAAATATGAAAATTGTCATTAAATATTTATAAATTAATTACAAACATTTGCATAGGTTCATAGGTAGATGAGTAATAATTTTGCAACAAACTTCTATTAATAGCTCAAATTATGACAAAACCAATACCTGGGATTTTCCTTTTCCTTTAACTATGGTTTCGCGTAAAAATCGAACAAATTTTCATTTGTTTGCAAGTGATGCCAGAATTAAATATATTTTTTTAACCCTGTTTCTACATCTAAATGGTTCATTTTTTTCAAAAAAAAATTCATCCATTGGCCGCTGTCGTTTTCAGGCCTTTAGTCACTACTTTGTTAAAAATAGATAAATTTCGATATTTTGTAATAACATTTTAATTTAAAAACATATCGATTTGAAATTAAGATAAAATTTAGACCTTATAAGATAATGTATTGTACATAATATAGAATTCTTACATATTTATTTAAAAAAATCGCCATAGATGGAGCTAAAATTACTTTTGTTTATAAAATTATTAAAAAGTTTTCAAGTTTACTAATTTTGATCATAGTAGGCATCATGGACTTTTTTCTATGGTATCCTACCATGAAAGCATGAAATATAATTTGACAGTTCAGTTTATAAGATTGACTTTCAGTTTATAATTCAAAACATTAATTTATAAAAATGAATAAACTAAATAATATTTATAGGCAGTGTCATCAAGTTAGAAATTATAACCTACTTTAATTTTATTTTTTGCTCCACAACCAAGCTTCAATTTATTTTTTACTCGATAAGCAATAAGCAATAATTCCAAACTGAGGAAAGTAATATTTATAAATATTGGGTATACCCAATAAATAAATTAGAATAAAGACTT